CTTTCTCGTGATAAATTTGAAAATCGTCTCGTTCTCTCTCTCTCTTTCTCTCATACGTATACCACTTTATCACTCTTTCTCACTCTCTCTCTCTCTCTCTCTCTTTCTCGTGATAAATTTGAAAATCGTCTAAGAAAGTTTCTTCGGATGTCTGTACCGCGGGCTCGTTTCACGAAAAGGATGACGATGACGATGAGGCATGACGATGATCACGATGATGATGGCGACTCTACGTCAATGGACAATAACGTTATGCATTCATCACACTATCACATTTATAAGTTATAACCCCCGGCCCGGGTAGAAGCCTCCGTCGCAATGTAGCCACAGCATCCGTGATCTCGCATATGAAGATATTCAGGCTTCCGTCGGACACCCAATGCTCGATGTGAAAAAAGAAAGCGTCATCCGGGCCGGGTTGGCGACAATTTCTTATCTCCTCCCCCTTGGAAAGTCACACGAAAGTTCCAGCCGAAGCGCATGCGCACCATGTGGGAAGAGTGTCGCGATATCATCGCGACGATCGCGCGACAACGGCACGCGCCTAAAAGCTCCTTTCTATGGACCGATCCGATCCTCGTAGCGACAGCGCTACCGAGCGGTCGCGCCTTATCAAATCGGTCGCCAATCATTTACTCTACCTATTTTATTCGTCCTAGAACGCGTCCACCTCACGTGTTATCCTCTTTATTTTTTCCCTTATCTCGTCCGCTTCTTCTTCGCTCGGTGAATATCGCGCGATTTCCGCAACAGCTAATCCCATGGACCGTCGCTCGGATGGCGGCGATTAGACGTGTCTCTTCATATGAAGGGCGAGATGATCGCTGCGAGAGAAGCAGCGATCGCAATGACGACATTTGAACGGTTTGGCGCCAGTGTGCTTGCGATAGTGACGCGTCAGCTCGTCGGAACGAGCGAATCGCCATTCGCATCCTTCCCAGCTGCACTTGTATGGTTTTTCCCCTGAAACATAGAAAAACAATGGAAACATTTTTTTTTTTTTTTTTTAATTATCATTCACCCATGGGGTACGCGGTTATAGTAGTGCGAACCTACAGGAGTATTTTCATGACGCGATCGCCTCGCGTGATCTCGGATTGAGACCCTGCTGAATTACCGGGTCATAAATAATCTATTCGACTAATATGAAGGGCGGATGACGTTGATGAGGCCACGAAGGAGAAGAGACAATGCAGGGTCGCCACCTGTAGCGTAATGCTACCACGGACTTAACAAGCCGAGGGAGGAAGGGACTGGGCCTAGGAAACCATCCCCCGTGAAGGGGATCACTCGCACGAGGGTTTATCGTACGGTGGTTTCCAGTGTATCGCTTATCGATCCACGGGATAATAAATGCTGTCCCCGGGACGGACTTATTTTTCAAAGAGGTGTACGCCAACCTATGTGACATTATAGAACGAGGGGCGAATGTATGAATCGACGTGTATATAGAGGGAGTCGAGAAATAACACAGGGTGGATTTGTCGATATTACTTCTTATCGGACAGTACTCGACTGCATCGTTCACGTAATTTTATCAATTATAGGAACAAAGGGGGATAATGTCTACGGGGCTTGGGAGGGGGGAGAGAGGTTATTAGGTCGAGAAAATGAATAAATTCCTTAAGCGAATAGAGAGTGGGAATCTCGCTGCTATTTTACTGCCTTGCACTTAC